GTATCAGGGAATATTTTTACAATAATAATGGAGTTCTGTGGCTTCAAAATTTATTCTTGAACATAAGCTGAAAATTGCGATCTAATTTCTGTGACAGCATAGACATATTTATAGATCTTCGAGAGCATCGCAAAGTGCCAGTGGAATGAATTTTTGCTAGAAAAGACATACATGCAAGCGTTTGACACGATCGTTCGAATCGACATACTGAAAGCTGAAGCCAAAATCAATCAGATAGATTCTGCGAACGCCATGGATTAGACTGCTGCGACCAGTTGTGAAATTTGATGGCTTTATATCACTGAAATATAAATGATAATGCCTGCTCAGCAACCAAATCTAGTGAGATTCTAATGAGATTCTTTTGAGCACTCTCAAATACGTAATTCATCAGTCGCTCGAGTTTATCCACCTTTTTTTGCGATTTTGCAGATATGCTAAGTTTTGTTAATGCACCTCAGTCAATTATCACTAAGCGAAGATAATGATAGGCGCTAAATTTCCTATGTGGATGTCCTGGTACCATAGGAATTCCTGGTATGTCAAATTTTGCCAGACCGAGCTAATTTGGGACACCGCAGACATATTTGCAGATCTTCAGTGGCACCAATGGAATTTCAAGCATGTCAAATTTTGCCAAATCAAGCGGGCTTTCGAGCATCATAGTAGTCCCTCTGAAGAGAAAGATTCTAAAACGCACACACCAAGTTGCAAAATGACTTTTTAGTGCTCTTATAATTGACTGCTGAAAAGCCGCCCCGGCTCCCGGATTCTTCCGCAGCTGTGCTTGCAGCCAGAATGATGAACTGTTCTCTTGCAACCAAGCCCCTGATATGCCAATTAATATTTGAGAACATTTTTCATTTTTTATACGTTTTTTGAAGCTATGCAATACAGAAAACGCACACTGGCGAAAAGTTGTCTGTTTGAGTGTGTGTGTGTGTCTGTGTGTTCATCTGCACCGATTTTTCATCGCAAGACTACAAAAACTGCAGGCCTGAAACCTTGGGAACTTAATCTACATGCGCGTTCGGGCCCCCATCCCGGAAATGGGCGGCCCTGCCTGCATGGTACCCACGTAAGAGCCAGCCAAAATTTTTTTAACTCGGGGATCTGAAATGCTAGAAAGCTGAAATCTTAAGCTGACGTTCCCCGTTCAAGTAGGTATTAATGAGCTCAAACCCAGCTCCCGGGTAAGCGTGGCATCCACGTACGGGCTCGTGAAAGTTTTTTCCAGTAAGTTGCTAACTCAGGAGCCAGAAAAGCAAGAAAGCTGAAATTTTTAGGAGGTGTTTTCTGACAGTTCTGGCTGCCAGTCTTAATTTGTTTAGCTAGAAGCATTTGCTGAAAAAACCAGTGTAGCGACAAAAACTGCGGGGAACCATGCATAAAACGAATCTTCGCACGGGCGGCCCGTGAATTGGTCAGTCATTTTAAATTGTCAACTTATCGAAAAGTCTTCCAAAATTTTTTGCAAGAACTTTCTTTAATCGCGAAAAATTTCTGGCTGTGTCACTGAAAGCCTGAAGTCCAACTCAAGAAACTGCATGAGGAAAAGTTTAAGTTCAATCACCGATGTATGAACCCAATCCGGTGCAGCTCTTCGATAGCTTCCAAACACTGCAGGCCCACCGAGATAACGCATCCAGCACTGAAACGCTTCTTTTTCGTGTCCTTCACAATATCCTAAATTTGGTCTTATTATAAAATATATGCGTGTCCATAATTCAATTTTGTATTTCTAAGCAGCTGATGCTCTATGATGTGTGGTACTTCAGTACGTGCATCTCCAGACAAATCGTCAGTGACAAATCCACTTTTTTTTGCTTAATCTTCCCAGCTTTCCGGATTTTATTACGCATTCCATTTTACGAAATTGAAAATTTTATTGAATTTTATTGACTTAAACTCTTCCTTATGCATTACTTTT